GCATCCCTGGCAGATCGAGTGAATTAAAAAATTATGTTGGATAATTAACCACTTCATCTGCATCCACAACAGTGTCGACGGACTTGTATGTGACTGCCTCGCATTGAATGTTAGACTGAATGATATTGTTAAGTTCATTGACGTCTTTGTTCTTGGCCGCAAGAATAGCTCGTTCACTCAGCCAATCGTGATTCTTATAATTGGTTTGAATATTGGGAAATACTTTTTCAACCAATTCTTCTTTTGACGTCACTAAATTGCAGACGTTATGAGGCAATGAAATTCGTCCTGAGGTCAGCTCAACCGGCACCTTTCCGTTCCCAATTTCCAGAAATTGATTCCAGAAATATCTCAGATGATCGATCGTTTTGCAGCTGGACACGCAAATTTGTAGTTAATTTTAACGTCATTACGTGTCGCCACAAAGTAGGGTATTTCAGGCAAGCATTTATTTCGTCCGCTGGTGTCGATCGAGGAATTACAGGTAATGTTTGCCTGAAATCTCCTGCAAGCAATATTAATGCGTTCTCAAATGGTCTGATGTTTCCACGCAAATCTTGCAATGATTGATGAAGAGCCTCGAGCGATTTTTTGTGCGCCATTGTGCATTCATCCCAAACAGTAAGATCGCATTTCTGCAATACCTTTCCCATGCCTGATCCTTTGGAAATGTTCCACGTGGGATTTTCAATGAATTGCATGTTCAATGGCAATTTCAAAGCGGAATGAGCAGTTTTTCCACCTGGTAGCAATGTTGCAGCTATTCCGGACGATGCAAGAGCTAAGGCTATGTCATTTTGGGATCAAATTGCTGCCGGAATTAATCCAATTAGGAACGTTTTACCAGTTCCTCCTGGCGCATCTAAGAAGAAGAATTCTGCAACCCCGTTATTGACAGTTTGCATTATTTTATCATAAATGCCTTTTTGCTCAAGCGTTAGCTTAGGAATATTTGATTGCACATATGACAAAAGATCACCCGTGTTGTAATTTTGTTCACGACGCAATTCTACATTGAACGAGGCAGCAGCAGATCGATTCGGTGATGGCATTCCCAATTGATTGAGAACTTTGTTCGTAATTTCTAAGCACAAATCTTCAATCATTATCAACGCTTCGTTGCAGATTTCTGCTGTGAAATCCATGTTCATATTGGAATTTTCCTTGCGTATTCGACGGAAATTATCTTCAGCCATGTGCGATTTATATTTCTCCCATAACTCTGTTGGAGATGAAGGAGAGCAGGCGGTCAATATGATTGCAAACAACGCATGAATTTGATGTGGATGTGACGTGTTGCACGCGTCAGTAATGCATACATCCCAGTGTCCGTCGTTCTCCAATAAATTCAGAGCTTGACATGTACTGCGGAAAGTGTCATGTGTAACGCCGTTGACAATTCTCAATTGCTGGAAAGACGTTGGACCGGGCACATTTACCAACAGCAAGCGAAGAAAGAAGCATTCATCTTGAATGGGATGCACGGTGTACAGTCAGCCTATCGTAGTTTCTTTGAATATGCCAGTTTGTCGGTCGACTCGCTCTCCTCGTTTGCGTCATTCAAATGATTTTCTACTCGCATTCCATGTGTAATACGTAGGCACTTCCGAATACAGCAGTGTTGTCGCAAACGCGTCATTTTGACACAACGTGAAGAAAGCAGTTTACGTTGTAGCCAGTGGATTCAGGGCTATTTGTTGCACATTTGCAGTTGTTAAATAAATGCGTTGTCCATTTTCTAGATGTGCTGCTAAGTGAACAGCAGCTGGACTTCGTTCATGTATGGGAAATGAAAGAATTCGCCATACAGCCTCATTGCTGCTTATGTATCTTCCAGCCTGATACTGTGCGATTTCATCGATATGTATGACCGCATTCCTATCACTCCTTTCTGGTTGCACGTCAAAAACTGCCATGTCGCTGCCTTTATTCACGTACTTACAAATGTATTTGATCGATTTAACGGAGTTACAGTATTCCACGTTTATGTGCGCTTTGTATGTTTTTGATAGCAAAGGCGGATATGGAAGAACTAACTGGTTATCCACTTCGAAGTCACCGTTTCGCCTTTGTGTGGTTGCTAATTTACCGCCATCTTCTTCTTCTGTATGAAGGATATCCATCGTTTCCTGTAACTGTGTTGGATAGTAATGCTCGAGGATATCGCTTAGAGCATTTTCCGTCTATCATGCATGGTGAATTTGGATTCAGAGTACCGCAAGGTCCATGTATCATATTTTTTGTCACAACTTCGTGCAAATCCTTATCCATGTCGGCATCAGGTATTTCTGCGCATGTTACATCGTCGATTTCGTTGGAAGTGATTCTGTTACACAGCCATATTAGTATATGTGCGTGTGGCAATCCTCTTTCTTGCCATTCCACTGAGTACATCCAGCAGCGCACAGACCCAAACACTTCATGTTTTACCATGAAATCCATCAGCGATTTCAGCTTCTGTCTGAAAACACGTGCTGTGATGTCATGCCTATCCACCGGCGATTGCCCAGGAAGTAAGAGCTGTTGTATATGGTCCCAAGCTGGATTGCATGTGATGTAATGAATAGGTCTGGACGCCCGTAGTGGCGAACATATGCAATTGCATCTTGAGCGTACTCATGCATATGACGTGGACTGCCTGTATATGAAGATGGCAAAATGGTTAGTCTTCCAATGTTAGTTGTATTACCGTCATTTACAACTGCATCTCGCAAATGAATGTATTCTTCAGAGTGAAGCTTGGTCTGATTCAAACGGATGAATATCAAACGTTCTGTTTCGATTTTTTCATACATATCTACGATGTATTGGTGAAACAATTGACGGCATTTGAAAATGTGATTGTCTTCAGTCCTCCAATCATTAATCGGTATGAATAATAGTTCACTGCGCTGCATTTCATATTTGTTTCTTCCCCACTGACTGGATTTATCATCTTAACGTTGAAGTGATATCCATTGGCACCACCCCCCAAAAAATGATTGGATATTGCAGGGCATCGTAGCATCGATGAGTTTCTGCAACTTTTGTCAATTGATCGTTTCTCCGATGAAGAACAATATCTCTAGGTTGGAATTGATCTCCGACTATAAAGACTGACTCCGACTGTGAAAAGAGCCTGGAAGGCACTTCACTTTACAATGCGTATTCTAAAAAAGGGAAATAGCAAAACTAAAAGTCTAGCATACACATCTTTAGTGCGTCCGATTCTGGAATATGGGGCGGCGTGCTGGGATCCTTATAGGGAGGGACAGATAAATGCGTTAGACCGGGTGCAAAAGAAAGCGGCCAAATTTGCACACCATAGGAACGAATCGAACTGGGAAACCTTGACAGAGCACAGAAAGATAGCTCGCATATGTGCTCTCTTCAAAGCATACACGGGAGAACGGGCTTGGAAGGCTATAGGTGACAGATTAGAAACACCATGCTATCTGAGCAGGGGTGATCATGGCAAGAAAATTAGGAGTAGAAAGCAACGGACAGATATCAGGAAATACTCCTTTGTAAATAAGACCATACAGCTCTGGAACCAACTACCTGCAGATGCTTTAGGTACTCTGTCCTGTAAACCAAGCAATTTTAGGCAAAGGGTTAGGAAAGTGATAAATGAGGCGAAGTGAAGTTGGGGTGGAAATAATTAAAAAGAAAAAAATTGCAGTGAAGTGAAGTGAAGTGAAGTGAAGTGAAGTAAATGACATTACGCATCCATGACTGTTGGTTTCCTTTTGTTTGTGTTTAGGGTGTTGTATTTTTTTCTTCTCTCTCTCTGTAATTGTTGTTGTATTTGTTGCAGTTGTTTGTATTTCTCTGTAATTGTTGTAGTTGTTAATCGTATTTGGTTTGTATTCATTGTGGTAGGATGTCCTTATTGTTGTGTTTTGTGTATTGTGTTACTTGTCTGTTGTGTCCTATTGTGTACGACTGCCACCGGGCTAAAACCCAATTGCAGTATAATAAATAATATATAATATATAACAATTGCCACTTGATCTATAGTTGGAGCACTGAATCTTCGCACATGTTGTCCAGCAGGCGTTTTGTCAGCATGAATAACAATCTTGTGTATATCAGATGGCATCATGTCAATTGCTGTTTTGAACAAACGCACCAAATTGTTTTTCTCGTGAAGAAGCTCTTGCAGTTTGGATGGACCTTTTTATGCCGGTAGAAATTCTGCAGCGTGCATTCAATTCATCAGTGCCATCCCCGACGAAATACATTTGTAGGAATTAATGTTGACCATCTAGGAACGGAAGCAGGGAGCCCGCTTTATGATAAATTTGTCCTTTCACTTTGAAAGTTGGTATGAATTGTGCTGTTATGATTTCTGTGCCGAACGACATCATTTGGAAGCACGAGTTGTATTTCCTGATGTTAGATAGGAAATGCTTTGATTTGGCGGTATATCCAGCAAACAAAGTTTTTAATGGCTCTGGCGGTTCTCCAAGTTGAGGCAGTTTAATTTTTCCCGCGGCGCAACACATTCCTTTCGTTTCTCCATTAAATTTCAGAGCCTTGAAATAAGGACATACTTCAGTCATAGTGCCGATGACAACATGCCGGCTCAAACTATAATCTTCAGCTGGGCTGTACCGGAATGCAAGGTGATTGTAATCGCGTGATTGCTGGACATGGAGTCGTGTTTGACGCTGATCTGCTGTTTCTCGTTGACGTCTTTCAGCCACTCTCAGCCTGTCGCGTTCATTCTGTTGAGAACGAAGCAGATCTGATGCTGCAGAACTCGATCGCCGTGCTCGCAACCGTGCATCCTCAAGTCTGGCTGCACGTCGCTCTGCTGCTTCCTCGGCCCTATTTGAGCCATTCTTTGCCTGTTTCGCTCGTTCGCTGATGCCCGTTCTTCCCCAGTTTGATTTGCAATTACTCGTCGCACTGCTTCCGCTCCGCGAGTACGACAACCTAAGTTTGATCCTCTGCAAGGCATTATTTTGATGAACTAAAGCAGATCGATTGCACTGAAGAAGAAGAAGAAGAAGAAAGAAAGAAAGAAAGAAAGAAAGAAAGAAAGTTATAACAAAAACATATAAAATTGCAAAACATTAAAAAAAAGAAAGAATACGAACTGGAAAACAAAGAACAAACAAATAAAAAATACTAACGAAATATTTCAATTCAGACGCAGATCAATCGACACAGCTCAATTCCACAGCCAACTGCACTGAAAAATAAGGAAAACAGTTAAGAAAACAAAATTAAAAACAATGAAAGAAGAAAAAAAAAACTACGAGTATACTCACGAAATGAACCCTATGGTAAGCGACACAGCTCAATTCCAACGCAATGTCACACGAAATAATTAAATCAAAATGAAAATAAACCGAAATCTATGAAAATCCAATTTAACAATGCAATCGAAAACATTGAATTGGAATCGTAAAATATTTAGTATAGCGTGTGTTGCTTTACGTCCAACAGATGGCGCTGTTTTTCAAAAGAAGTATGTTTTTACATGTCACAGGCGTGACATCTATATAATAGGTATATAAAAACACGCGCGTATTCGAATGCAACATCGTGTCAAAATTTCAAAGCAATTGGTGAAGAAGAACTTTCGGGGATTTAAGATTTTGAACAAACGAACATTTACATTTTTATTTATAGATTAAAGACTTATTTAATAACACATTGTAATCTTGATCATTACACTTACGAGAAATTCAAGACATCTGCCATGGTGTTCCAAATGTCACCAATATAACCACTGATCCCATTTCCTTCAGACTGGAAGAACACAACTTCATCTGCCTGTAACATTCCAATACATTCTGATGAGAAATGTAATGTTTATTGTGTAATTGTGTCACTTAACGAATGTTTGAAGTTAAACTTTACGACATACTGCCGCATAAGCTGAGGCCAAAACATGTTTCATGTTTGATATGATGTGATGTTTTCAAGAACCTAACCACCAAGATTAGTGAATGGTTGCCCATAGGAGATATTCTTCTGGAAGTTGGGATAGCTTAGTTGGGCCATGGGCTTGGCACACAGGGTTTCATTCCCTGTAGGAGCAAGAGATGTGTCTCTCTACCCTTTCCAGTTCATTATTTATTAATCGTCATATTTTCAATGCCATGTAATCCAAGCTACTGAAAGCGCCATCAAAAAAGTATAACTATATTAAATATTAGTGTAACACTCACTGCGAATTGAATGGGGAGTCTCATCTTTCGTTATATAAGTTTCTTTACTGTTAACTTCCCAGCTTTATCTCATATTCATTTTCAGTCCTATGTGCTATTAAATGATACATTGAGGCTAATATTTAGTTCCATCTCCCATGAATAACATCAAAAAATAATCAGTCATAAACCATCTCCTCTATATAATATGCTATACTTCACACAACCACATCAAAATATTACTGGTAATTACAAATCAGACATGATACACTGTCACATAAATCACTCGCTTGTTCCTGACCTACTACATAACTTACATGTGACAAGTTAATGCATAACTATTCATTGCTGTGATAATCTCAAATTGCTTAACAATACTGTTAAATCTCATGCTTACAAAATGTTTTAGTATATATACAGAGAAAGGTTATTTACATCAAATGACATAATGTTAATATTCTTTCCAGCCAAACATGTAGTGTTTTGTAACTTGTTGTGGAACAATGAAATATTTCTATTCCACATCTTTAGAAATGTATCTCACTCACAGAACCAGTTACACAAATGCAATGATTATCTTGGTGGCCTGTCTTTGTACAGTTCTTTGTACAGTAATTAGCAGAACTACTCTGTATGAATTAATGTTTAAAATATGCAGTAATGCTAGTATCAGTCAGTTCTGAATGCCAAAGTCTAATTTTGACACTGCTATTATAACTTTGATGTTAAATCCTCAATGACGAGTGCATGAAATGCTAAACCACATGACTATAAGTTATAAAATTCCAGGGATGTTCAAAAGATATCCAAGCCAAATAACTCGTTAAAATCCAGCTCACTTTATAGATATTTGCATCTCAGGTTGTCCAGTGGACATAAAATTCAGATTTCTTACCAAGAGTGTTCATTGTCTGGATGAAATATACAGTTTTGTATTTTGTAGTCAAATGTGTAGTAACTGGTTCCTTTTCTCAATTATATAAATTAGAATTTTGAGGTAAATACATATGTTTGTGAAATGAGGATTAAATTCTTGAAGTTGCATTAATCTGTGCTAATACTGGTATGTGTTTATGTTGTCTAACGTCATGCACATTTGCTATATGGCTTATGGTTGTGATTATGTTGGAGTAAAAATGATTCATGAATTGCTACAGACAGGAAAAATGTACCTTTGAACTACTTTAACATTCATTCCAAATGTTTGCCTGGAGGAACCAAACATTGTAGTGGTGACCATTAATCAGGACCACTATGTATGAGGCTGAATCCATAGCATTTGTCCGTGTATCTGCTAAACACAATGACTTCTAGAGCCTTCATATTACCGATAATATTTTGTAATGAAGAGTTCATGGAATACCATATGAAAACAGTAAACATTTGAAACCAGTGGTTTAAGCATGGAATTCACCTCCAAAATGCTTTTTTGATTAACCAAATCAATAATATCTGTAGAAGAATGGTACAAATTAGAAGATATCAAAATTATTAAAAATTTGGCATCAGACAAACATATTTGTAACCCCTGCACATATTAATGTCATGGAAAATACATGTTTGAAATGGTTCACTAATTCCTTTGACCTAACTTGACAGAGAAGTTTTAAAACCATTTGTAACACTAATCAAAACTAAAAATTGTAATTACTATTTATGCTGCAGAGAGTAACCAAAACTAAACTTTCCACTTTACCTGTGGCAGCAATTATAAGCTCAACTTCAATATTAAACATATTGATTGATTAACTTTGTTGCATGTAATGAATGCCACAGATATACATTTTGCTGAAAATTTTAGAATGATGGATAGATTGATAAGGGTAATAATTGTGGATGTGGTTAAGATATGACTATCAAATGAACAATAAAATGCACCTCAAATTACCATACAGTACAATCTTGGTAATCCAGCCATGTGCTAGTCTGACGTGTCCAGTAATCTGACATCAGGTGCCAGACAGGCATCTGCAACCTTATGCAGGTTCCTACAGGAAGCAGAGGCTGGTAATGTTCTTACCACCAAACTGCACCCCACTTCTACAACCAATGGATTGGAATGTTATACAGTTTGTGAAGTGACATTACAAAAAGAGCCTTCTATGCAGTGGAATAAGCCAAAATGATGATATCATTCAATGTCTGAAATTAACAAACCTCAAATATGTAGTTTTCATGAATCTCACATATGCATGGCAAAATGTACCTCCTAAAACCATAATTTTGTCTTGGAAAAAGTTGTGGAATTCACATCAATTATCCCCTGATACCATTAGGCTCACAGGGCCTGAAGAATCGGAAAATTATGGTACAGTCCTAACTTTTGATCTCCAAGAAGCAATAGCTGAACTGTGTGAAAAAGGCTCATCAAGTCCAAAAATTGCTGACATAAGTAACTGTCTAGCTAGAGGTGGGGAGGAAAATCTTCAAATCATGACAGATGAAGAGATAATCAACAATGTGCTAGAAGACAATAACAGTGAGAACAAGCAAGAGTCAAGTACTCCACCGATTATCCACAGAGTGCAACACAATGCCACGAGTGCCTTCAACATATGTTATAAATGGGCCGAAGAAAACAATGTGAAAGCTAAAGACATCCTCAAATTGAAAAGATGGCAATAAAAAGTTCTAAGAGAGGCATTTAGAAACAAGAGACAGCAAACTGTTGACACTTTCTTTGTAAAAAGGCAGTGAAATGAAGACCTAAATGTTGAATTAATGGACAAAAGTTCACAGGACACATTTATATATGTAAAATAAGTAAAATGTAAAGTTGTTCCTGTGCTCAAGGAATTAAGCACTACACCATGAAGGCATATGGGGGAGTTGATGTATAGCTCCACATTTTCTTGACCTCATAACTAGCTGGAGGTTAGTGGTCAGCTTCATGCCCCTGCCACTTTACCCCCAGTGAAAGAGTTCCTGGTACCCATTGGATAGGAGGTTGGGTGGAACCCAGAGCCAGTCTGGATGATTTGGAGAAGAGAAAATTCTTTACCTTGCCAGGACTCAAACTCTGACCCCTCAGTCATCCAATCCCTAGCTAGTTGCTTCACCAACTACATTACTCTGGCTCTGTGTAAAATAAGTAAATGATAATAATTTCTGTTAAATACTAATCAATTCTGAAACTTCTATGTTGTGCAGTACAACTTAATAAATTTGTTCTGACTTTTTCCAGTAATCTGTCATTTTCGGTCCCATATATGTCAGATTATGAAGACTGTACTGTATTTATTTTTTCAGTGTTCCAACTCAGTGTGAATATTTATTTCCATTTAAGAGAAAGTGAGACAGATCGCTCTGTGAAAAAATGAACAAAGGATATTGCAGTATCTCCAATATAAATGACAGTTTTGACATATTACTTACCAAATTAGAAGAGATTTGGTATTTTTATGGTAGTGAAAATGAAGATTATGTTCTTCTGGGTTATGACATCATGTAATTTAATAGGTGGTTACTGGTGTTTTTTACAAACATGCTGCCTTCAACTTCAAAATCTAAATTGCACATGTTGACAAGATATTCCTTCTCTCTGCCACATTTGCTTTGATCTCACTATATCCATCAGAACAGTTAATTTATGATAGACTTATTGAAATTTTGGTCAAAATGTTCAAATCTTAAGAAAATCTAGTTTTGAGTCCTCATTTTTATTTAATTTATAGGAAGTCTGGCACCTTATTCCATTGTAATTAGGTAATTAATTTGGTTGATATTTAATTTCTGAATAGGCACTGTGTGACTCAGTATTTAAATGTTCACACCATGAGGCTGCAGAACTCTACTATAGTGCAGTAATTTTAGTTTATTTGTGTGAAATTAATTTTTCTGGCTGCTGGTAATTCTGTTTGTGTCTAAGAGATAGTAGCAAGTGTATTTATAGTTGATCATTGTTGCCCACTAGTAGAATGAGTTAGAATCTCAGCTGCACTATTCCTTTGTGGGAAGAATGTGATATAAATTCTATCTTAATGTCACGACTATAATCACTGCAACTGCAACAACCTACTTCGCCATTTTTGTCTCCACGTGCAAAATGTATCGAAGCATATCATTGGCCGAATCATTGTCTTTCTGGTTTCATGACGTCACTTTCCATTGATGTTAACACTGCAGTTGTAATGTTACAGCACCTTGGCATCCTCTCTCTGACATGCATCTTCAGCTGTAAAATGTATGTCCCCATCCTTATTTTGCGTTGGTAAAGCCACGGCTATGCCCGGTGCTCTGTTGAATGTCGGATAAACGTGGCACGTATTTTAGAAAGATATATTGAAAGTAAGTAAATTATATCCTGAAAAGTGTATCCTTTCTGAGAAGCGATATCGTTTTATCACCTGTGGTTTATGTTACAGAAATTCTCCGTCTGTATCCTCCTGCAGTGTTGGTAGACAGGAGGTGCGTCAAGCAATATACACTGCCCGCTGAACCACGTTGCACCCTGAAACCCGGAGACGGTGTCTACATACCCATTTATGCCCACCACATGACCCAGAATACTTCCCCGATCCTGAGAAATTTGACCCTGAAAGGTTTAGTGATGAGAATAAAGGAAACATCAAAGCCTGCACATGTCTGCCATTTGGATCAGGCCCTAGGAACTGTATTGGTAATTAATGTTTACTGTCTATTAAAAATACGAGTTAAAGACATACATTGAGCGGGCAAACTTACGGAGGAAGAGTTCTGTGTACGTACGGTATCTCCGATATGTCGGTACTGGTTCACATTGTACGCTGAAAATGGCTAATGTTGACGTAACCTCAAAGTTTGAGACACAGTTCTTCTGGCAGTTCACAGACGTGCTATTGTGGGAGCTCTGTTTCCTTATTTGCTGGAATTTGCTTACGGTTAGACTCTAGAACCCCAGTAGCTTCACACGATTAGACGGAAAACAAATGAAAGGAAACATACTCGGCCACTGCACCATATACAAGTTACCACCACGACGTTACAACTGCGTGCTGTCGTCTTTAAATGCTTGGACATGTATTATACTCTGAAGAAAGCAGTCTTTCACGCCGTGAAAACCTCAAATCATGTATGTATTTTACTAGTTCGCGAATATGAACAGAAGATGGCACAAAATTTACATTTAAGCGATCTCCGTTTTTAATCCTGCAAATGAATCTGATGGTGCTATGCATGAGGTCAGAAATAAATAATTGGGGAAAGGTTATGAAACGTTACATTCGTCATAATAACAGCCCAGTTTTAATGAGAACTTACCACAGTTCAGTGAACACAGCAATCGGACTGAACACAGTTCAGTCAGATTGCCAAAGTATCACGCTGTCTAAATTTGCATTTGCTCTTATCGTAATAAGTTTCAATTCAAGTTTAATTTTCACGTAAAGCTCAGTAGATGCAGCAATGATGCTATGGATTGGACTACGGTAAAATCGGGTTTCGTTCCCCTGAAGCAACAAAGAATTCTTTTGTCCACAACAATGAGACTGGCTGTGGCTCCCAATCAGCCGCTGATTCAGTGGGTGCCGGGATCTGTTTCCCAGGAATCAAATGCCTGGAGCGTGGAACTTGTTACTTACCTACATCTAGTACAGAGTTTAAATCTATTTGGAGTCACAACTCCGCTCCCCCATACATCTTTATGAAGTGGTGCTTCATTAAACAGAGCAACAACTATACTACACCGTAATTTGCTTGATGGGACTAAGAAAAACCACGAATAGTCAGTGCCCCGACCGAGATTAGATACAGAATCCTGTTGAATACAAGCCAGAAGCTTGTGTTTGCTCAGTCTATTAGTGGTTTGTGTAAATCAGAGTCTACAATCTTGCCTTTTTTAATAACATCCAACCAGTTGAATTATATTTATATGTATCCATGACTGTTGAATGGAAAAAGGCATGAAAGCAAATGGATGATGTTACTTTAAGCCTTTAAGACACACCGGTAACCGTAAGCACCAGCAGTTTAATATTAAGTGTCACCGCATTCTGTTCACTGAATTAGTTGGTACCACGACTCACAAGGCAACAATTCAAATCTCTACTGCACTCAAAGCCTTAAATACTAATCTTTCCTTTTAGTTCTACTTGAGACATTTACTTTAGTGCACGTTCACTGTTCTGATATTTCGC